CAGGGCAAGAGCCCCGAGCTGCGCGGCTCTGTGAGTAGCTTGGATCCATGGCAACATGTCTTGGAAGTATTGAACAAATTGCAGGCCGCTGACGAAATGCCCCAGGGCCATGGACTGCCAAGGGCGTCCCAGGAAAAGATGCATACTGCTTGCCGAGATCATCAAATTTCTGCCAGACGTTGGTTACCGTGGAATGCCCGGCGCTTCAATTTGGTCACTAGCTCCAGCTAGTAAGTCAAGGGCCACCATGTCTCAGATGGAGATAGCGCTTTGCCTGGTTGCTTCAGTTGCAAGAGGGGCCTAGAATGAGAAGAGCCTCAGTTGAAGCAAACCCTTGTGGCTTGATGGTTGCGATGTGTTGCAAATCTCAGAAGGCCAGAGTTGCCATGGGTTAGGGAAACGGGGGGTGTCCTTCAATCCTCCCCCTGTTGAAGAGAGCAGCCGGAAAGAGCACGGGAGGAGATGTTGCTGCAGCTTGCGTGACTTGTAAGCCTTGGTCGCACGTGTTTGTCTTCGAGTCGCAGGACACCCCCGATATATATATATATATGTATATATATATTTGCGATAGCGGGTCAATGTAGAGCTCGCCTGAGGCCTGAGGTGAGCATTCATTGCCCGCAGGCAAGCTGAAGACCTTCTTCCGCTTGAAGTCTCCGTTCGGCTGCTGGAGGGCTCAGATGGACGACAGCGACTTTGAGCCTCCCCGCAAGCTCCTTGCCAGCAAGGATGACATAGGTTGTCCTTCCACAACTGTTTCCCAAATGAAAATCGGACCAGAGCTTATTTATTGCGCCCTGAGGGAATGGTTTGTCACCCATACCACGTTCCTGGTAGCTACAAAGAAGTGGTTATTCTCGGCGCCATGTTGCTCAGGGACCCAGTGTTGACTTCCTTTGCGCTCGTTTGGGCTGCACTTTTCCTGCCTGACTGGAATTGCCAAAAATCAGGCGATTCTTTGCCGCCAGGGCAAGCAACTGCAGGCCAGGGATTGAACCTGGCTTTTGACATCCAAGGATGACACGCGCAACTACTTGTTGAGGCAGCCTGGCATTGTAACATGCATGCTGCACGCGTAACCTTGCCGGGTCAGACTTGTTGGTGAGCGCCATGCTTCAGCCGGTTTAGCAACGCTGCTTGTGCCCAGGGCAGGGTGAGAACCCGAGCAAGCCATCTCAAGAATCATTTTTCCGAGACGAAAGGCAGAAGTCACAGGTTCGGTAGTCGGTCAACACAAACAAATGGGAATTGCCCAGACCAAATTCGCCATGAAACGTCTGGCTGAAATCCTTGAATTGCGTGAAGCGCTGTCCACAATCTGCAGCCAGCCAAGGAGCTAGGGCGCCGAGCCAGCGACGACACTGCAAGCGCTCGAATTCAAACGCAGTGGGCAAAATGCCTTTTTGAGAGCTCTAGAGCATTTGCAAGGTCCTTTGCCACATCTGAATCAGGACGGGGAAGGCAGCGATTCTTTGGAGACTAAACTTCAGGAAGCGGCTCGAGAGAGGCACCTCCCCAAAGCCACAAAAGGCATTCAGGCCTGGAAGTTCTAGATTCTAATCAGCTCTGTGCTGCGACCTGGCCTGATCCACTGTGCTTTTTAAGTCAGCCAGACTCAGGCCATGCTGCTGGTCTGTGCCACTTACTGCGCATATCGGAGGTGCAATTCTGGCCCCTGAAACGGTGAAATGTGCGAAGTTGCGGCACGTGTTATGCGTCACGCAACTTGAGTAACCAGGCTTATCAAGTGTAGCAAGGCAAGTGTGCTGTCATGCTGCCTGTTGCAATTCTTTGTATTCTTTGTTTTTGATTGCCAAGTGGCTTGTGTTTGTTTGCGTTTTGGGCGCCGAGTTGATGATTCCTGGCCAGATTCCTGCTCAATGGCATCGCATGGGAAAGAATGTCCTGGGAAAGAAAGTCCCCCCGGATGCAAACGAGCTTGCATGGGACACCGGCATTCAATGTCAGTGCGTAGTTTGCATCAAGTTCACAACATGTTGACTTGCATCACTTGCCATGTTTGGCAACAAAACATCAACAAAACATGACAGTGTTCTTTCTGGCAAACCCACCTGGGTTTGCTCATCGGTTTTTCCCAACAGACGACCCAATTTCTCTTGTTTGGGACCAAACATGACTCAAGCCAGGTGGCAAGAAGGAGGTGCTGCTTCTAGGTGTTTTGTTACATTGGATCATGATTCAGTATCACCCTGAATAGCCCCCAACCTAGAAGTTGAAAGATTATGCGTCGAATCAGCCAGCTGTTGGATGGCAAGTAGCACCTCTCTAGTTTTGGACGTTGAGGATTGCTCATTCTGTTTGGTGATTGTGTGTTGGTTTCCAGCTCGGCCGCGATCTGAATCCTTCGTGATGCAATTCCAGGGCTTGGCCCTGGCTCGCTAGACAAATGCTAGCAGATGCTAGTCCCGCAGAGTGCCTAGAACGAACTGGCCACTCGAGTTGTAGCGGCATGCCATGACCGAGCGGTCAAGGTTGTAGTGCTCCCAAGGCCAGCTGAGATCCTCAAGGGCGCTGACCCGACTGACTTTTTATCAGTCTGGCTGGCTCATGTGGACAGCTCATGCTGGCCTTGCAAATCATCCAGTGCACCGGTGCTGGGCCGGCCCTTTCCTTGCCAAAGGCCCTGAGCGATGCGGGTGTGATTTCCAATGCTGGGGAGGCGACTTTTTGGAACAATGTCAAGAGAGAGGGGGTGCCGGCATCTCACAGCCTGAGTGAGATGTGACCCCAGCCCAAACCCTCGATCCAGGCAAGGTTGTACATACACGAACATACACACACATAAAGTTACTCATGTATATGCATATATATATATATAAATCTATATATGCATATTACAATGTATATCCGTGTATATATATATATATAGATGTGATGTTTTGTATGTATGGAATTATATGTAGCATGCAGCGCAATTGTTTCCCATGCTTTCTTTGCACGCTCCTTGCAAAGACTGAAAGGCTTGTGAAGCCCCTTCATAGATGTTGGACAAACTGTGTCAGCTTGTCACAGTTGGATTCTGAGTCGTCCTAAGAGTTCCCAGGATCCGTTGCATGGCTCGCTTCTTAAGCACCACGCGAGGCGAATCTATGTGCCTTTTCCATCTTCAGATTGTGAAGTGCATATTGGCGACCCCATCAACCTCGCTCATCCGGAGCTTGTACGCCTCCTTGTGTCGGAGCACTGGGTTCTGCCATTCCTGTCGCTAGCGATTGCACCACAACTCGTATCCTTGGACCGGCCTTACCATTTGCGCCTTCATGGCTTAGAACCCAGTGCGTGAACTTTTTCGTCAAGGCTGCATGGCTTCTTGCAATGAGAGTGGGCGAGTTCCCTCCTCCGATTGTAAGCAGCGCAAAATCACTCCACTCTCTAGGGCTTTGTAAACTGTGGAAGCTCGCTCGCCAACTCACCATGAGGTGTGATTGTTTCAAAGCATCGCGGCAAACACCTGGAGCACAACCACGCAGCACTGTCAGGGTGCTGGTTTGGCAAACTGGGGCACGCGAATACTGTTCATGTTCGTGCTACATTCCGTCAACATGCCAATAGCTGGAGCTCGTGCACTGCTGTCATGTTATTTTGTTATCTTGTGCCTTAAAGGTTATGTCGGTATGGGTGTTTTGCATGATCAGGGTGCCAAATTTGAATACCCGCGGCATTCTGTTTTCTTCCTACTTGGGTGGCGCAGCTCAATGAGTTCACGCTGTTCCACGCACAATCCAAATTGCAGCGATTCTTGGGGAACATTGGGAGAGTTGGATGTTTGCTCTTCTCCAGCCACGGGCATGCCCGCGCATTGCCCTGCTTGGCCAGTCACTGCTGTGTTCCATTTTGCGCTTAGTGCGCGAAGAGCTGCCTGCACACGGCCAGCGGTGCCTTGAAGTCTTCAAAGGGGGGGGACCAAGAAACCGCATACACCACAAGACGATCGCTTCGTGTCTTCCCGTTTGGAGTCTATGGGTCACAAAAGTCTGGCTGAAAGCGAGGCATCACCTGCACCAGTCATGTCCGGCGTTCAACGCTCACAAACGCCTGATTCTTATTTGAACTGCCCACCCAGCGGCTCGTCCTTCGCTGAACCGGCGTGGGGGAATATGCCAGTGTCATCTAATGTCGCCATGCCAGGTGATGCCGGCCAGTGTCGCTGTAGAGACTACACACCACTTCAGTTTTCAAGGAATCTGCGAGATGCACCCGGGCAGGAAGTGCCGAAGCGCAGACTGCACTTTATGTGTTCCTGCGCGTGCAGTAGGCTACATCCATACAACTGTCAACGGCCAAAGGGCCGATTAAATCATTAGCCCCGGCCTTGGAAGCTTTCCGTGCAACAGCAATGCTCTGATTTTCGCAGGGTCTTCACGAGGTCGATATGACAACTTGCTCACTGGTTGCTCTGATCCTGCCATCAAGCGAGATCTGCGAGAGAGCGAGGGTCAGTATGTCTGTATGCCTGGTCCCTGTCTCTAGCCAATATGGCTATGCATTTCGGAGGGCCTTTTTCAACACCACCGGAGCCGTTTGAATGGCAAGCTACTTGGCCAAGCCCGTGCTTTCGATGGATAGCCTTCATGGATATCAGTGAAGTGTTGCTTGGAGTGCTCAAGAACCACAGAGCAGCTCAAGCATGTGTAAAGTCGACTTCACGTTTTGTTGCGGTCGAAAACTTGGAGAAAAAAAATGGGCCTTCTCATTTAAACATAGCTAGCTCGCGCTTCCACTGGATTCTTGACATGTAAGATGCCGGATGTAGGATTGCTGTTTGTGTGCACATATATGTCCGATGTGCTAATCCTAACGTGTGCCTTGCTTGGCATGAGCCCTGAGCACATCGCAAACACGCGAACTGTCCACTAATTCGGCATAAGCAGGTTGCTCGCTCACGATGTCATGTAATTGTTGGTGTATGTTTTGTGAGGTGCCCTTTTCAACTGGTTTTAAAGGGGAACTAAAAGGAACACCGCCATGTTTGAGGCCCTAGTCAGCCCTAGTCTGGCACGTGCCCAAATGGCACACAGCCATTTGCCTGCACTGGGTTCGGAGCCGCAGGGCTTTGGCTCCCAGCTTGGAGCCATGCAGCCGCCAGCGAAGCGGGCGCGCACCGAGCCAGGCGGGATGGATTTTGCTGCGCCCGAACTTGAGAACTGAACTCGTGCATTTCTTCGGGAGTTTTCGAACACGGGAGAATGGTTGGTGGGAAGCAGACGGGCAATTCAGGATTTTGGTCTTCCAAACTGGGCAGCACAGCGGGGATACTCCGACAGTTGCATCACTTAGCCTTGCTAACCCGTTTCCAATGTGGTCCAAAACAAAGCACTCCTCAAAGCTTCCATCACACAAAGCGAATAACTGACACTGCCTGCGCTGCTACAAAGTGTTTCTCTCTTGGTTGTCAAAGCAACGCGTTGCGTCAACGAAAAATTGCCGCACCTGCAAGAGACACAGTGGCGCACGTATGCAAGTCGCATGCGTTTTACCAGCCGTTTGCTTGTGGAATACCTGCTTTGCAGGCCCCGAGTGGTTGTTTCCTATTCTTGGCGGTTCGGGTTGTGGTACAGTCAATCGGTGTTTCTTTTGGCTTTCGCGGCTTGTGATTGTGTTTTCCGTGATGTTTTTTAGCTTTGGCCCTCCAACGCAACTAAACCCACCCCAAATCCTAAGCCCACCCTAAACCACAAATGAACCATCCCTAAACAGACTCTAAACCAACCCAAACCTAAACCAGCCCTAAACCCACCCTATTCTTTCTTCATCCTGTTTGTGCGCAAGACCACCTTTCAATTAGTGTCCGTAACGCGGGAGGTGCCTTATGAACTTCCTTTGACAAACCCTAAGCCAACCTAAAGAAACCCAAGCCCAAACCCAGACTAAACAATCCTTGAACCCACCCTGACTCAGTCCAAACCAAAGCTTCTGATGCCGGGGGTGTGAACACGCTGCTGGGGATGTTGAGGTGCTGGCGTAAAGCAGGTGCACAAAAACCTTCCGCCCCGCTTTGCGCTTCATCGACTTCACCCTTGCGGGCCATTTTTTGTTTTGGGGGGGGAGAGCTGTTTTCGCGCTGTTCGCGCGTGCGCCGCAACGTCGGCTGGTATTGGGCTACAGCAGTCGGGACCACCACTATGGGCCTTATGCTGTGGTCCTGCAAGTTTGCTGCGCCCGCAAAGCATACTTTGCGCAAAACCTGTTTGTTTACTTTGTACGGCGCAGGGTGAGGGGCGTTGTGGAAGCTAGATGAAAACTAGGCCTCCTGTTGCAAAAACAACACCCAAAGCAGGTTTGACAATGCATTGTTGCAGCAGCCACGGACTTGCAAACGCATCACCACCAGGGCAGAATCTCACTGAGCATCGCTAAGCATTGCTGAGCTTTAGTAGGCCTTCAAAAGTTGGGGGGCCCTGCTTGGGGTACCTGCTGTGCCATCTCATGAGCAATCCCTTTGTGCTTGGTGAGCTCTCTGCATTGATTACTTTCAGGCGCGTTGCTGGCTTGCCAGCTTCAAGCCACGAAACACATTTCGCGAGTTGCGAAGCTGAGTTGCAAAGAAGGTCAGGGTTCTATGGCAGTAAGTTTTTGTGCCACGCCCATGTCACCTGCAAGCCTTTGGGGCCAGAATGTGCGTTTTCTGCGTTAAAACAACCTCAAAAGGAGCAAGCACCCTCAAACAAGAAGGTGCAGTCATTCCTCTCCAAAGCACAAACTGGACCGGCATCGGTCAATGCTGGCAACCCCGAACACTAGCACTTCGTCAGCCCCATGTCAGTTGGCTGCTTCGTTCATGATGGGCCCAAACAGGCTCAACACAGCAATCGGTGAGCCAGCTTTAGGCTTGAACTGGAGCGTGTTGAAAAGTTCGAGAAATCTAGGAACAATGAGCATGCCTGCTGCCTACCGTGCAGCACTTTGAGCAACGCAGTTGGCCCAATCAATTTAATGCTTTCAACGTCCCACAAGACTGTACAAATTCCAGATGGTGCGCCTGTACGGTCGCACCATTTGCCCAAGCAGATCCAGTGGCACACTTACTCTAACGCTTTAACCATGCCAAGGATGGTGCATCAGCCCGTCGCAAGCAGCAGAGCTGCAACAATACGGCCCTGGGCTGCTTGTTTGCAGCTGGGAAGGCAGCAAGGGCAGACAAGGCCCGCAGCAAGGCTTTATTGAACGGGCGTTGGTTGACGTGTCCGAGTGACATTGCAGGCTTGGAATGCCTAGTTGGCCTAGTTGCCAGCGGCATGATCTTCAAAGATTAGAAGGTCCTCACCCTTGCAAAGCCGAGGTTCCTAAAGATGCTGGTCACCAACAACACGGCTGGAATTCTGATTGGCAAGGGTGGCTCTGCCCTCAAGGAGGGTCACTGCAAATGTGCTTGGCTTTCGATTTGCGCGCCATGAACACTTGGATCGCCCCCCATTTGCACGGGAGGACCTTGAAGCCTCTACTGGCTGCCTGGTGAGGCTGTCCCCAGCCAACAACTTTTATCCTGGCAGCCGCTCGTCCTGCAATTTGCTGGCAGCAGGGCCATACTGCCTGCTGGGGTTGATGGGGATGCTTTGAATGTTCAAGCGGTGGCTCGAATGGAGGACATTGTTCGAATCTGAGGATGTGTTGCTCAGGTGGGTGCCACGCTCCGGGGGGATGCATTTGTTTTATAAATGCTATTGTTCTTCTCTGTTCCAGCATGGCTCAACAGAGTTGCATTTGAGCAAATTGAGTGGCCACGTGCTTTGTGTCAGTTTCTGTTTGAGTTCCTCCTTTTTGCACGTGTGAGCTGTGCGAGTGTTGCTTTTCACACTTTTGGCATGTTTTGGCTTCACGCCAGGTCGCTTCCTCAATTGTTGTTGTGCACATGCTTCCCTGTTCAATTATGACTTGCGCGAGTGTTCGCAGCTCCTTCGGAGGAGACAGCCTTCCCCCTGACAGGGAAAGAAATGATCCAAAAGGACGTTCCCGTTTTGTACTGAAGATCAAAACGGGTCCCCAAGAGTCTGAAGACCTTCAGGTGGCCAGCGCGTGGTGTGCGTAGCTGGCAAGCAGGCCGGGCCTTTTGCACGGAGGTCGGGAAAAGGAAGGCAACTACTCCAAAAGCTTCCAAAGCTGCTTGCCTGGCCAAAAGCTGAGAAGGCAAGCACTCAGAAGTGTTCGTGGTTGGAAACTACGCGCAGCAAAGAAAGCTTAAAACCAGGGCCATTGATGGCAACATCAGCTTCGGCAATGCCAATGGAACACCAGGTTCCGACAATCCAAGCAAGCTCTGATGGGCTGAAGGTGACCAGGCAAGGTGAAAACGAACGCACGCATTATGTTTAAGAGCTTGTGTAATCTTGTGTTGCACAAGCTCGGGCCCTTGGGACATCAAGCCTTTAGCGCGATGCACTCCGAAATCCACAAAGGTGCGTGGCCTTAAAGACGTTTATATTGATGAGTGGCAACAGCCCTGGTTGCGGAAACTTTGGATTTGTGCAGGCCAATTTCTGCGATACGAAGAGGCTCCCCATGAAAGTGATAGTGTAGTTATCTCACAGAATGGGTTGCCGTCCACAACCATGGCCACAGGAAATCAAGATAAATCAAGTATGTGTCGCTTCTGGCCCGAGCTGCCAGGAAGCAGTGGAGGCAGTGCTTGCAGCCGCACCTCAGCAGAACGCAGGGCAAGACCCGGATGTCGACTGCTGCCGCACGGGCCGTCGTTGCTTGTGAAGTAAGTTTGAAATAGCGCTTGCAAAATATGTATGTAGGTCCCTTCAGTGCAAATGTGAAACCAGATGAACATGCCGGCATGAATGAGAAAATGAGCCACATTCAAAGTTCCCAAGGTGGTCGAGGCCACGATGGAGGTTGAAAGACATCAAGCTGCAAAGGAGAGCAGGGAACCAGAGGACAGGCCAGGACTGCGCGCCCCTCTAATGGGCACTGGGCACCCACAGCCTTTTGCAGGCACCCGGTTGTAGCTTTGCAACTATAACGTCCCCTTCTCATGTGCAGCATCAAAAGCTCGGTGCAGGGAGCGGAGGCTTAGAGAAAGGTGGAACTGACGTGAGCAGCGGCTCGTTTGCTCGTTGCCGGCCAGGGTGTTGGCGCAGGCTGCTTGTTTGCACTTGAGCGTGTCACGGGCAGCCTTTTTTGAGAAATTCGACTGGTGTCTCCCGGCTAGACTTGTCATAACCCCACCAAGCATTGGAACCGTGCTTGTCGTGCCTGGACATGTCTCAAATGTGTTGCTTTCATGGACCCGATGCGGGCCCAAACATCGGTTTTCAATTTTACGACTCAGTGGCACTCTATTAAGGGTTTACTTTGTGTTGTTCATTCATGTCCCTCAGACACGCCCTCAGATAAGAGACACTCCACCCAAAGAATGCCCGGCGGAGTGTTTCCAGCTACCGAAATCGCGCGCCAGATCGCTCTGCCATTCTCTGCCTGTGGCCTGGTTATTGGCAAGGGCGGGGTGACGCAGAAGGAGATCACTGAGCAAACAGGCCGCTACGCACTGCAATTGCAAATCACGCGAATTTTGTCGAAGCCGCGTGAGAGCTTCCGCGGCAAAAAGCAGGACCCGTTTGATCTCCGTCGGGGTACTTCCCAACTTTGGAGCAATGCGCAGCTGCTTTCAAAGGCATTTGGCGGTCCGCCCGTAGGCATCACTGTGAAGATCACCCCGCAGGGCCAGAACACGGTGCAGAATGAGCGCGACCTGGAAGAACCTGTGCGCTCGCGAATGGCTCTTGCAAGAATGGCCGAATCAGTAGCATGATCCATTGTGAGCGGCTACTGAGTCATAGGCGAAGCTTTTAAGCCAAATGCTGGAGCGTGACGCTGCAGTTCAGCCTGCGCTTGAAAGGCTGAGGGGCAGGGTTTGGATTGTTCACTTGGACTTTGCCAGAGACCATTTTAAGCACGTGTTCTTCTTTGAGGGAGGAGGGGAGGGGAGGGGGGGAGGAGGGGGAGGGGGGAGGGGGGAGGGGAGGGTGGGGGGGCAGCAAACTGAGAGGTATTCTTGGAACATGAGGGAGCGACCAAAGATGGAGGACCGAAAGGTTGCACAGTTTTACAAGGCCTGCCCTTCCTTGCCCAGTGAGTGGATTGAATTTGAGCTCCTGTCGTCACCACGACTTGCTTTGTACTTTGAAGAGGTCCATGCGCTGTACCGAAGGCAGAGCAAAGCAATTCAGCGCAGCATCAAAGTTCACTCTTTGGCTCCAGCATATGGACTTGTTTTGCACTGTTGTCAAGCTTGTTCGTGTGTTGCACTGGAAGACCTAGTTGCCGGCTGCATGGCCGCGTCAGAACATGGAAATGTTGTTGTGCCCCTTCACTGTTCATTGCCAATTTTCAAGAATACGAGCTGTTCAGGCCCTACTGACAAGAGATGCCCAACTTCGCCAGTTTGAGTCCCTACAAAGTTCGCAGCGCCTCTGGAATCCAAGGCCTGGCATCGCTGCAGGGGCCGAGCCGCGGGGTTGCGCTGGCTGCAACCCAGGTCTTCCGCCTGGTGCAGGCTGACCCCAACATGGCGCAGCTGGACGGGCGGGGTGGATCGTACGACATCGGTGCATGGTGCCATCCCCTGCTCGAGGCTTGTCGGTTTTCGATGGCCAGCTTGCCACTTATGATTTGCACTCAGAGTGAACGAGAGGGTGCCCAGATTCGAGCCGACACGCCTTCAAGAGCCGAAACCGCAGACATGGCGAGTTCGCAGGAGACGCCTGCAGAAGGCAGCGCAGCGCAGGCCTGGGTTTTCGACAGCTTGTAGGTTGGCTTCGAATTTTGTTTCCAAAGGCGATTCCGGGAGGTCATCAGGGCCGGTTGGTCATTCACGCCCAGGTTTCGGTTGGCCTTCGCCGGGCAAAGGCACCTGAGCCTCACGAATCCTTCTCAGACCCCTTCAGGCTTCGGCTCAGCAGGAAACTTGAGTAATTCTAAATGTGAGCCACGTGGGGAGCTAGCTTGACCCGCATGGATTGCGAACCAGGACATGCCGCACCTTCCAGACTGCACCTGGCTTTGTGAGTTTGCTACTTGCTACAGCTTGCTACTCATTAGCCTTGACCTGACCCTGCAGGCGCCTCAGGCCCAGTCAAACTGGTCTGGGCGCTGGGAGCAGAGGACGGGACTGCGCTGCATATTTGACTTGGGACCCCCAGCTCGCTTGCTTCGCTTCTTCACCACAGAAACAGAACAGCCTTGACAGTGCCTTAACTGAACACCGCTAGTTTCTTTGCCGCATGTTGTCCTTCGGCTCGACTCCTCGTGCTGAGTGCTTGTCCATACGTGGACACCTGAAGCATTGTTCAGAATGACGGTAGCTGTTCCAAGCAACCTTCAAAAGGCACAGTCCCAAAAGGGGAGTTTGTTTTCGACGATTCCATGCATGCTCTTTTCAGGAGTGTTTATTGTTTCATTGTGACTTCAGCTGTGCCCTTTCGACTCGTACTCAGGTCCGACATTGCTAGCGACGTGTTGTTGGGCACGCTCGTGAAACCCATATTGGGGATGCAGATGGATCCAAGCAGGTTACAAGCTTTGTGGTAGAATCAGCTTTTCCGCACCGCCAGCCGCAGGAGCGACTATAGTCCTGCCCCGCCTGCAGCCCCTTGACGAAAATTCGTAAACGAGTTACCATTTAAAACTTGGGGCGTAAGTGTTGGAACGGTGAACTGGATTTCTTCCATTACTCGATGCTAGTGATCAGAAATGCCACGTTGAACTGTTTGTTTCTTGAGACTGCCAATGAGGACTGCCCTTCAGTGTCAGTGCTGGCTTTGCCCAGGTGAAGCCCATGGGTAAAGGAGCTATGCGAATGCCAGCCATGAGCGCACCTCCGGCATCTGCAGGCCCGGGCAAGATCATCCGTTCGTGTTCAGTTCATCGGCTGTCAGCTAGGGCCGAACTTACACCAAGCCTGTTTGCAACGCGAAAAGCTTGTAAAAGCTTCTGCCAGGTGCGGGTTTGCAATGCCAGATCTTCTTCGAAGTGAGTGACATGGAGGCAGCCCACATTATAGGACCCTTTGCGGAAAAGAGTTGCAAGCAGCCTTCCTGGCAGTCGGTAGGCGCAGGCGGCCTAATCACTCAGGTCGGTGTTAATGATAGGCAGGTCACAGGCAAAACCAGATGTTTCCTTGTCCGTTTCAGCCTGCCGGCAGGGAAGCAGTCAAGGGAAAGCATTGCGATGCCTGTCCCGCCGAGGAAAGGGAGGCACCTTCCTGCAATCGGCTGGGGGCTTGGCTGGCCGCTTTTCGCTTGCTGACGGTGTGGTTTAAAGCACCAAGGTGGTGTGCCCAAAATCATAGAAAGAAGCAGGGCTTGTCCTAGCTGCCCGTTGGTCGGCGAAGCGAATCCTTCGAAGGCAGTGCTAGGTGTTTATTCTGCACATGCGATCCTTGAGATTCATGGATCACCCTGGATGGTGGAGCCACTCAGCCACCTTTGCCAACGCTGTCAAGATTTTGCAGCCTTAAGACCGATTTGCGATGCGCAATCCTTGCAAGCTGACGCCATCCAGGCTTTGCACTGCTGGCAGGTTGTTGTGGTCAGACCTCATCTCATGCGTGCAACACATGCCCAGACATGTCAAGCCAACATGGGGATATTCTATCAGAGGTCAACTTGTTTTAAAACATGTTCGCAGTTTTAGGAAATGCTTGTTGATTCTCGGCTGTTGCAGCCATGTCACCAAAACAAATCGCATGGTGAAGCATGTGCCCAACTTCGCATTGCGACGTACACTTCAAAGAGAGGTACGTCAAGGCTTCCGTGTGTGGTCAAGGTTTGCCAGCAGACCAATGCCAAAGTGCAGCTCACAAAGCGAGGCGCAAGGGTTGCAAGTGGCGTTAGCGGCGCAACACTGTGGGAGTGAGGCTGAGTTGGGGAAGAAACCCTTTGAAGGTTAATGCAAGCGAAGCCGCCCAGATCAGGTTTGGTTGTCTCTTTCATACTAATAAGTAGGCTTATCTTTCTTCACCACGGCAGGTGAACAAGTTCCAGGAACGGAGAACCGCTTGGTCACCGTCAGTGGTCTCATGCAGAACGTGCATGCCGCGCGGTTTGGCAGCAAAGCAAGTGCCACGCAAGCTGCAATGACACACGGAAGCCAAGGCATGCTATGGTTGTTGAACGCGCAGCCAGCACGCCCTCAAGGAGGCCTTGAACAAGTGATGGCGTCAGTATTTGTCAAACTAGTAGTGGCTTTGGAAACAAAATGGACATTTTCGAAAGGGTTTTATTTTTGTTCTCAAACAAGAGCTGGATGTCTTTTTGACCGAAATATTCCGAAAATACATATTTTATATTTATTTTTTTGAAATCAACTATTGATTGAAAGAATATAACATAACAAGAAAACCAACAAGTGGTTAGTTCGAAGTTATAGTTTTAAATAATAATAAATCCGATAAAATATTTAATTTTTAATTAGCATGTATTTGGCTTTAGCCTAGCTAACTTAGAGAAGATTCTTTAATATAAAGATTTTTTTAGGAATATTAGAATAAGTTAAGGAGATAATTTTCTAGAAACTAATAGAGTTGGGAAACATTATATTAAGAATGCACTTTTAGAAAGAAATAGATAGATAAGGTGGCAGATTTTTTTGAGAATGTAATTGGATAGGTGAATAATAGGAAATTATATTTTTTTGTGTTTTAGAAAATAAAATAGAATGAAGAAATTTAGATACTTTTAGAAATTTTAATGTTAAAAATAGAAATTTGAATAGTAATAAAGAAATAAATTAAATAAATATATAAACACTTAAAAATTTAAATTAAGAAGAGAGGAGTGGTATAGCTTGCTAAAGAAGAAAGGTTTAGGTAATATTAGAAATCTTTCTAAAAGAAAAAACAAAAAAGATTATAGAAGAGGTTTGTTAAAATAATTGGTGGAAGGGAAAAAAAAAAAAAAAAAAGAGAGATTTATCGAATATTTAAAACACAAAAATTGAATTTATTAAAACATAGATAATATATATTTTATTTTCTTTGTAAATAAATGTAAAAATATATTAAAATAATAAATAAACATATAACAAATATATTCTTTTTAAACTTATAAATATTTAAACAACTAAATAAATAATTTCATAAATATCATTAAAGAATTATAATATTAAATTTCTAATAAAACCAAAAATAAAAAATATAATAATTTAATATCATATAAGTAACCAAAATTATAATATCAATCGCAATTAACAAATATATATATATATATATAATTATACACAAGATTAATATTTTTATTCTAATATATAATATTATGCTAATATACATATTATTTTATTTAAATAAATAAATTATAAATAAAAAGATCAAGCAGCCAAAAAACAAAATAACCATCACGAACAAATACAAACAACCTCTTTTCAATGACCTCAATTCATTTTTGGGTCCGATAAATCAACCACTTTATCTTTCCAGGTCATATTATTTTACTATATTATTTCATTCACTAGTTAAAAATTGTAATCATAAAGGCTTAGGAATCTATTATTTATTATCTGGATTCATCTTTAGAATCTCCGGTACATTAATATCAATCCTTATAAGAATAGAATTATATTCATCAGGAAATAGGATTATATCTCCAGAAAACCAGAACTTCTATAATATAAGCATTACATTGCATGGCTTTCTTATGATCTTCTTTTTAGTAATGCCTGGCTTGTTTGGAGGATTTGGAAATTATTTTGTACCTATCTTTCAAGGATCTCCAGAAGTGGTATATCCTAGAGTCAATAATTTTTCTATCATAATTCTTTTACTTTCATATCTTTTCCTAATCCTTTCTTTAATCTCAGAATTTGGAGGTGGTATAGGATGGACATTATATCCACCATTATCCACTTCTTTTATGACTTTATCACCTTCAAGTACAGGAAATCTTATATTAGGATTATTAATCTCTGGTATATCTTCATGTCTTACATCTCTTAACTTTTGGACAACAATTCTAAATCTGAGATCTTATTATCTTATATTAAAGACTATCCCATTATTCCTTTCTCTTTCTTGATTACAGCTTTCATGCTTTTATTAACATTACCTATCTTATCTAGTACACTTCTTTTAATGTTGGGTGATCTTCATTCTAATACATTTTTCTTTGATCCAATATTTGGAGGAGATCCTATATTCTATCAACATTTATTTTGGTTTTTTGGACATCCAGAAGTTTACATCTTAATAATTCCTGCATTTGGGATCATTTCCATAATAATTTCTAGGATTTTACAGTTAATAATCTTTGCTAAGCAATCAATGATCTTTGCCATGTCATCTATTTCTCTTCTTGGAAGTCTTGTTTGGGGACATCATATGTATACTGTAGGTTTAGAAAGTAATACAAGAGCTTATTTTACAGGAGTTACAATCTTAATATCTTTACCAACTGGTACAAAAATCTTTAATTGGCTTTTTACATATCTCTCCAATCCATCTTTATTACACCTTAGAATTACTTCTGTCTTCTTCTTTCTTCTCTTTTTATTAATGTTTACTATAGGTGGGTCAACAGGAATAATTCTAGGAAATGCTGCAGTAAATCTAGGATTACATGATACATATTATGTTGTAACACATTTTCATTTTGTTCTTTCTTTAGGAGCTATAATTGCTATCTTCTCTGGAATAATCTTCAATGGAGAAAAGATTGTTAGTACTAAGAATTTATTACTTTCATCCTCATGTACACTCTCTCTTTATCATTGTAATTTAATATTTATTGCTATTCTTCTTACCTTTTCCCCAATGCATTTCTTAGGATTTAATGTTATGCCAAGAAGAATCCCATCCTTTCCAGATTCTTTTCATTCCTGGAATTACCTGTCATCTATTGGATCAGGAATAACTTTCCTATCTTTTTCTTTTCTTTATGTTTATTTGCTTATCTTATATTGTTTGTGTCTTTCCTTTTTCATCTTTTATTATTCTTTTTCTTTTATTTATTTCTTTTGCTTTTTTATTATTTATTGTAAACTTTAGAATCTTGGAAATTCATATATTTTATAATCTACAACTTTATTATTGGCATTTTATAGAAATCTTATGGTTATTTATCTTTCTAGTCTTTTATCTCTCTTTCATTCCCTTCTCTCTCATTTGCTCTCTTCTCGCTTCGTCAGTCATCTCTCTTCCACAGTGGATAGGATACAGAGCCAACGGCGGTGAGTGGAGGAACAGGTGGAAGAGATACAGTGAGAGAAGCGAGGGAGAAGGGACACTTCGTTCTTATCATATCCTTTCCCTTCTTTGCTTTATTGTCGGGCATTTCTTTTATCATTTTATTTTAATTAATTTCTGATGCCGGGAAACCCGAAAGAAGAGAACGCCCGACAAAGCAAAGGGAAGGTGATATCTCTTCTCTCGGTCTTTCTTTATCCCTCACCCTCTCCTGTCAAGTCACTTATGGAGAGGTAATAGGGTGAGGAGAAAGACCATGAGATAGCGAGTCTTCTCTCTGTATCTCGCCCACCGTGTGCTCACAGAGGATAGGATTGACGTAAGAAGAAAGAAAAAGAGAGTCCATGCCGTTCATTCCCCATCTCCTACCTGTCGTTGGTGTCATTCACTCCCTAACACACCCTTCCACCCACCGTGTGTACCTAGAGACGAGGTGGTGGAAGGATAAGGAAATGATATGATGGAGAGCGTTTCTTTCCCTTCGCTGTCACTTGGTCAATCCACAGCTCTACATCCCTATCCTTCCCTGTCTATTCCATTCCATTCTCTTCCCAACATTACCAACCAATGAAGAGAATGGGAATAGACAGTAAAAGAGAAAGGAAAGACACAATTAAAAGCCATTATATCCTTTCACTTCGTTCCTGGGATTGTGTGGTCAGGTGTAAGCTCTTGGGTTAGTGACTGATAAGAAAGCGAATGAAATGAGAGAAGAAAGAGATGTAGAAAGTGGGACGGCTTGGCCGGAGGGTTAACTCTTTTCCAAATCCTTTCATTCCTCTCCTTTGCTCCCGCCGGCGGCACCAGATAAGACTCGCCGGGCATCTCACTCACCTATTAACTCCCTATCATCTGTTGGTCTTAGACCGTGCTTTTACAACTGGAGAATTACATTGGTGGACAAGCATCTGGATTACAAGGAAATAATAATGCTTTTCTTATCTCTCTATCACTTTGGTGTCTGGATTTCCTGTCTTTTCTCTCATGCTTTTCCACGGTCTATCTGTTAACCAAGTGACCGTGTAATCCAAGATGGCATGAGAGACAGGAAATAAGACCCAAATGCTTTATCTCTTTCCTCTTTACCTATCCCTGTCTGTTCCTATGGTCACAATGACAGCGAGGTAACGAGGTGAAGCTTCCCTTTCCTCTCCATTGTCTCGCATCCATTGCATCGACTAGAATGGAGATGAGGATGGATGAAGGAAGAGACAAAAGGAGAGAGGAAAGGTAATGAATGGAGAAGCCTCTCGTCTATACATCAGGAACTGGGATAGACAGTAGGTAGAGAGGCTTCTGGAGTCACTCTTTCCATGCCTTTCCTGTCCTTGACACACAGTGGAGAGAAGAAAGGCATGAAGAAAGAGGTAAAGGGAATGAACGAAGAGAATGGGATAGAGGAAAGTGAAGGGTGAGGAATTAACGTGTACACCCACTCTCTTCGTTCGTTATCTTCTCCAATATGACTCGCTCACCGGAAGGAACTGGAAGGTGAAGAGAGGAATAGAGAGGAGAGAACAGAGAGGGAATGAGTGGAGCAAATGACCGGCTTTTCTTCCTCATCTCGCTACCTCGCTTCGTCGCAAAGACAATTAACCCCAACAAGCCTCAGAGATAAGAGGAGGCGGTTATTGGAGGTCTATTTACTCTCTGTCTTGTCTATCACTTTCCATTCCTATTACTTCCTCATTCTATCTTGGAATGCATTATGCCGGCTGGCGGCGACAGATAATTCCAGCTCACGTCGGGTACGTTCGTCACCCTTCCCTGTCTGTTAATGAGACAGTGGGATAAAGGATAGTGGACGACTCACCCCTACGCTCTAGATCCCTTTCCTCACGGCTTCTCGGTTTACCATCTTGAATCATCTTGAAGTCAATTATAGATAGAGAGATAAAAGGGACATAAAGTGACTCTTCGTTCCTCAGATTATGAATGCTGTCCCTGAAGCTCTTTTGGTTTTATGGTTAGTTTTCTTTCCTAATATTTTCATAATTCCAAGATTTCGAGAGTCAACCGATGGTAAGAAGAGGAAGGTACTACATGCCGTCAAGAAAGGCCCGCAGGCTCTACAACCTGGATACAGAGGTGATATGATGGTGTGAGGAATAACCGAACAGACGAGGCATTATATGGGAGAAACGACGAGAGAAACGAGGGAAGTGGCAGCATATTATCTCTTTTCATTTATTTTCATTATCTTATTGTCTTTCATTTGCTTTGGTAAGAAGTGATTTCTCTTCTCATGGTCACTCACTTTGGGATGGAGGAATGGTTAGGAGGTGGTATGCGAGAGATAGGGAAAAGGAAGGCATGTAATCTTGGATAATTCTTCCCTTTATTTCACTATCTAATACTTCTATCTTCTAATTCTCTTCTTTTATGGTTCCCACTCGCTTCCCTCGTTCGTCTCTTCGTCATTCCTATGTCATTCCTAAGACTCCCGAACGTAGAGAGGAATGGGATATTGGATAATGCATGACATGAAAGACTGAGGAAGGAGACGGCAGGAACCGAGTCAAGGCTTGTTTCTCTTCTTCTCTTTTCCTCTCCCTTGTCTATCTTCTCTATGTGTATCCGTTAATTCCGAGAAGATAAAAGACAAGGGAAAAGAGAGGGAAAAGAAGTGAATGATGTTCCTGTCCCTACCTCAGCTTCTCTTGGCTCTTGCCTTTGCTCGCGAGTGAACATAAGGTGAACGAAAGAGAAGGAAAAAGAGCCATGAGAGCGGGTAGGAAGGACAGTCTTTAGGTCAGTTGGGAAGGATAAAGAATGGACCAGACAAGGTAAAGAGATGAATGGAGAGTCTGGTCCTTCCCATCTTCCACTCCCACGTCAATGATAAAGAGGAGAAAGGAATGGAAAGAGATGGCCGTTGGCGAGGGGAAGATGGTAAGAAGGAAAAAGGAATGTCCACTCGCCTTCATTGGCTGGTTAGTAAGGGAATTATAACTCAAGGACAGCCAATAGGCGATAATTGAGAGGATTTGTGTGGTAAATCAAACAGGCCACTCAAATTATTTAAAGAACACTTAGACTCTCAGGGTTGTCCCCAGCAAATTCGGGCAATTCGAGACGCATCCATTCAAACAACATGCCGACACCCAAAACGCCATGTTCGCACCATTCCGGATCGGCTCCAATCGAATGTGGCAAATATCCCACTTCGATACGGGTGGCTATTCAATTTGAACGGCCAAAAGAGCATTTACCAAACGAATCAACGGGTCACTTAAAGCACCGACACTGCCTTTTGTAGCCTTAATTCGAAAACACCTCAAGTGCCCTTAGTTTTAAGAGCACTCAAAATATACTAAAACTATATGCGCACCCACGCCCGACGCCCTCCAGCAGCACCCCTGTGCGACCAATACCCGCAGGAGTTGCTAGCAGCACCTGTCGCTAGCTACCGCACCCTGCGCAACTCTTCTCAGCCAATCATGAGCAACTCACTCAGAAAAATAACCAATGTGTTTTCCCAGAACGCGCTTTCGGTGCCGAAATTCCGGCTTTGGAACAAATCTCACGGAAGCGTGGGCTGCCCACTGCCCACTTCAGAGCCTGCAGCGTTCCATCAGACGGGGAAATCTTGCGATCCAACATCCGCCAGAAGATCTCCTCTGCAAAGGTGGTCCTCCCAGCTGATGAGGACCTTATGGGCGAAAGGCCCAAGAAAACCAACATGAGGTTCAAACGGATGAATTCGAGCATAGTCGCCGAATCTGCCAGAACAACAGGGGCATCAGAGCTATTCTAGGATCCTGATCTCATGTTGGCTAAACGTATACGTATGTATATTATATATGTATATGTAAGGGTAAAGTACGTAACGATGTTTTGTCGCCAGCACAGTTAGGGCCCCCAACCCGAAACGTTATGGGGTTCCGCTCTCTGCTTCCATCAACAAGGGGCTCAGCACAGGCCCTCAGCAGCTGATTGAACTGCACCACAGTAGCGGGCAGACCGCTGCGCTCCATGGCTCCAAACCATTTCGCAGCAGAGTCTACGTCCCCCAGCCGAGCGTGACCTCACTCAAAGCAAATCACCCCACCACCTTTCCCCCCCCCATTTGGGACATAAGAAGATGAAACTAGTTTGGCCTGCGCCTTGATTTGCTAATCAAACATGGGAATGTCTCAAAGGAAACCAACCACCTTTAAGGATTCTTAAGTTGAGACACACCCCAATGAGGAACACACTAGAAAAGAAATGGTCAGCTTGCTTGTCCAAAAGACCAGAGATCAAAGGTAAAGCTGAGACGCAACACTATAGACACCGGAAAACCAAAGGAAAGCAACAAAGCGATTCGCTTTTGCCAAGTGACCGTTGATGAGCGCGCTGTAGCTTTCGACTGTAGGGGAGTACTGCGCTGCCACCTCTGTAAAGTACTTCTCTGCTTGTGTCATCTGCCCTGCTCTTGCGTGAGCTTCCATCAAATTTGTATAGGAAACTGTGTCTGGAGACAAGCCCAGTGACACGGCCTCTTGGAACCACTTCTCTGCTAATTGGGGCTCCCCAGTTTTGGCTGCTGCATGTAGGAGGCTGGTGTACATCACCGCATCCTCACATGCAGCAATCAAACGGCATTCAAAACGGGAGGGAGCCTTAACACCCTTTCAGGGTGGAACATATAACAGCGCGGAAAAAAGGGCATCCGAACATGAGCCATCCCATATAATCCCCAATGGATGGTAAAGAAAGGGAAAAAGGAACAATGAACGTCCCCCACCAACAAAAAGGAAAAGGCTGGGAACACCTTGCCATTAATACAGGGCGTCTGGGCTGATGCCGGCTTCTTGGCCAGCCCTGAACCACCCCTCTGCAGACTGCAGGTCACCCAAAGAAGACGCGATGTTCACCTGAGTGCACCGTTGACTTTGGAGGAGGCGAAGGAATTCTACCAAGATGGTTATCAGGGTTTGTAGAGACCTTCCTGCAACAGGGGTAGAACTCGCAACTAAAATGGTTAACAGGGGTGGGCGACGAATGAACAGATTGACGGAAGCCAACAAAACATCCAGTTTCGGAGAATTTATTTTCGAGACTCCCTGTTTGGCTTGCATGTTAACTTGCAGGGGAGCAAACAGGGTGCTTGCCAAAATAGTAACGCATCC